GTCAAGTGGCCATAAGCTAGAGTTGAAAAGGTCAGGGTCCTACAATTCCCCCAGAAACAATTAAACTGAAAGGCAGAAAGGATACTCAATGTGTATTTTAAAATATGCCGTCCTAAACAGAACATACAAGCCATATATTGGACTCATGGCATTAAACCAAAGCCATGCCTTTTCAACAGATGGTAATTATTATAAATACTACTTGAAGAAGAATTTTCAGTAAATTTCCTGGACTCCAAAACCAAAGCCCTTTCTACTCTACTATGTCACCTCTAACTTGGTATCTGTGCTCATATGAGATGAAATCCTTAAATTAAATTAGGCATGACAAATAAAATTGTATGAGAGAAAAGTGTCTATCATAATTCTGTGAATTAAGATAAAAGGAACAGCCAAAAGCACAGTATCACCTAAATTATGAAACTTTATTAACTACAAAACACATGGAAATAAGCAAATGCTATCATCAACTCTCTATTCTAACACTGTCGTGGCATCATTAAATTGGCAAACTACATGTGCCAGAATTGGTTAGGATACTGGGGTCGAGGGGAGGAAGTGGGGATTTTGGACTGGCTATGTCCCAGAGAAGGAAGAAAGCCATCAAAGCCAGAGAAAAGGCAGTCAGGAATTAGCAACAGTCCAACCCAGGGAGTTTAAAAGTATACAAAAAAGAATAAGTAAAACAATAACAACATGTACCACCATTTAATCATTACTAAGCCTTGATGATAAAGTTATCCTTCCCAAAGCCACAGAGCTAACTATGGCAGAACTGGTATTCTCAAGCAGTTCTCTATGACAACAAAGCCCGTTTTTAACCCTAAGCTATATCATCCATACGCAAAACAGATCTGGAGAGCAAGAAAAGCAATACAGAGCTAGACTTGCAAGCGACATTATCCAGAACCACAGTAAACCCAGTGGGGGAAACAGAAAGAACAGCAGAAGCAAGAATGTGCATAGGCAGATAGATGCCCAGAGAAAACAGGGCCGAAGAGACAGGTGCTGCTCAACAGACACCTTCTCCTTCTCATTGCCTGTGTACTGTCTCCATCCTCAAGATCTGAAAGGTTCTGTGGGCAACTACTGACATAAACAGGTCTTGGCCTATTTACCATTGACATGATTTTAATAAGAATAAAAGCTAAATGACAGTCAATGTAATTATATAGATATTGGATCTAGGTCTCTCTTTTAATATATATATGTACTTTTTTTAATTAAACAGATATTTTAAGAAAATCCACTTAGATGAAATCCTTCAGAATGATTTTGATGCCACAAAAATATGAGTTATTTTACTAATAGTCACAATAAGCAACTTTTTAGGGAACCAAAACTTCGTAGATTAGGTAATATTTTCTCCCATTTCATCTTACACACCTCTTCTTCTGTTATCATTATGTTCATGATTTACTTTGTCACAAATGACATTGGGAGTTTTCTGCTAAGTTTTCTTAACCATTTTATGAAAACCACGTATTTATTCGTGATCCAAGAATACTAGCAAAATTGTCCTTAACCACAGAAAACAAAGCCACGGTACTAAATGGAAAATTTTTCCTTATCCTCAAGTGTGTTTGTATTGCTATGTGCATATGATAACATTTTGGACATGAAACAGTATAAGCATTATTTACTGAATTACATAAGAAATTAAAGAATTAATCAATAAAAAAGAACAAGGCTTTGTCAAGAAAGTTGACTCTGAAAGAGTTGGGAATCAGGGAACACAAGGTTCTTTTTGATTCACTGTTCATCTGAAAGGAAAGAAATGATTTCATGAAAATTCGCATTACCTTCCTGGCACACTTCATCCTAGAAAAAGTGGCTCTTCGTTTAAGCAAACTGCATATGATTTATTAACCTGGATACAGTAATTTGACTGATAACAGGATTCCTCATTAGAGTTCCATAATGAATATAAAGGAGACATTATCAGGCACTAGAAAAGATGATATTTGGAGCACAGAAGACTTGGTTCCTACAAGTGCCAGCAGCATCCATTGGCCACATATCCATGGATCACATATCATCAGACATGATATTTAGCTGGTGTGCACTCATATGAATAAAATGGTTAAGTGGAGAATATCTATCCTTCTTGGTAAACAGTTGCTGCCCCAAGGCCCCACAGTGCTCCCTAACCCTGACCACCCCAGGGGTCCTCCAGGATACCCCCCATTGCTCAGGCTACCTCCAAATCCATAAATACAATAGAGACCTCCAGAACCCTTCCTCCAACGCTGTGGCTGGGGCTGTGCTAGTTAACCGGCATCACCTGTGGCAAGCTAGGCATGAATATCATTTCTGGGTGTAATCAAAAATACTCAGCAGTATGACAGAAACTTTCATCTTTCCCTAACATACAGTAACCTGTTGAGCTATTTGACACTGATTTCTTTCTAAAAGTTACTAGTAACCAGAAATAGGTTTCAGCTTCATGCAAAGTGTTTCTTCCTTGTAGCAGTTTTTTCTCAAATTAAACTTCCTAATTCATGTCTTTTTTTTATTTTTTATTTATTTTTTATTTTTTTTATGAGACAGAGTCTCACTCTGTCGCCCAGGCTGGAGTGCAGTGGCGCTATCTCGGCTCACTGCAAGCTCCGCCTCCTGGTTCAAGTGATTCTCCCGCCTCAGCTTCCCGAGTACCTGGGACTACAGGCACCTGCCACCGCGCCTGGCTAATTTTTTGTATTTTTAGTAGAGACTGGGTTTCACCATGTTAGCCAGGAGGGTCTCGATCTCCTGACCTCGTGATCCGCCCGCCTCCACCTCCCAAAGTTCTGGGATTACAGGCATGAGCCACAGCGTCCGGCCCCTAATTCGTGTCTTATGGTAACTATACTGTGCTTTATAAAATAGTGTTCAACATATCACACAAATTACTACTTCATCTGTGATAGAGACATTCTAGAGAGTGAACAATTCAAAACTAAATTCAGCTAAATAAAAATATTTGAAGAGATCCAGAAATTCTAACTAATAAATGTCTTGAAAACATAAATCCTAGAAGCTGGGTACAGTGGGATGCACCTGTAATCCTAGATATTCCAGAGACTGAGGCAGGAGGATTGCTTGAGCTCAGGAGCTCAAGACCAACCTGGGCAATACAGCAAGACCCCATCTCAAGAAAAACCATAAATCCTAAAACAGTATTTCAAATTACTTCCTCTATTCCAAGAAACTTTAGAGTTTGCCTAGCCCAACGTCATGATTTGAAGAAGACAAAAGATCTTCTCAAAGTTGTTAAATTTAAAAAACACAACTTAGCAATATAAAAATTAAATTTATGGCATGTTAGTTCTAAGTTGTTATCTATAAAGACAGATGAAATGGCAAGATGCATTTTTCTAAATGCTAATGCCAAATAAAAACGATCTTTCTTTATAAAGGCTCATTTGCATATCAAAGTTGATATGACTCAGGGATGTTTAAAAATCAGGAGGGGTTATTTCAGGTAGAAATGAAACTAAATTGAGAATTGTTTTCTTTCATAATTTAAGTGTACCTGAAAAGGTTTACATGAAAGAATAAAAATTTTTAAAAGAAACTTTATATATTTTAATAACTTCAAACTTTGCTATAAGCAAAAATTGAACCCGAAAAACTAAAATACCAAGCTTTTGTAAAATAAGCTTTTAGTCTAATTCCAAATAAAAATCACTAAAGTTTCTCTTCCCCACATAATAGTATACTGCTAAAATTTAATTTAGAACTAATGCACAAATCAAGTAAAGTCCTAAGCTGCATGACACTAAAATTTTAAAAACTACAAGGCTGATGAAAATAATAACTGATGACTCATTTCTATGGATAATCATTTATGTATTACCATTTTTTAATCTTTTTACTCATCCAGACCAGAGTAATGATTAACAACAGCAACATATAGATCAATAATGGCAAAATAAAATTTTCAGTTTTATCTCTGGAAATACTATATTAAACCATGCACTGCAGTAATTACAATACCAAAAAATAAAAATTAAAAAAACCTGGAAACAAAAATTTGACCATTAATCCTCCTGCTTAATTCTAAACTGTAATAAATTGGTCAAGACTGGGTAACAGCCCAGATATCCGTCACAGCAAGTCTCATTGAAAATAAAATAACCAAATAGGCTTTGAAAGAAAAATACTTGCATTAGGAAACCACATAACAATTTCAGGGCCAGGCGCGGTGGCTCACACCTGTAATCCCAGCACTTTGGGAGGCCGAGGTAGGTGGATCACGAGGTCAGGAGATCAAGACCATCCTGGCTAACACGGTGAAACCCTGTCTCTACTAAAAATACAAAAAATTAGCTGGGTGTGGTGGCGGCGCCTGTAGTCCCAGGTACTCGGGAGGCTGAGGCAGGAGAATGGCATGAACCCAGGAGGCAGAGCTTGCAGTGAGCCAAGATTGCACCACTGCACTCCAGCCTGGGCAAGAGAGCAAGACTCCATCTCAGAAAAGAAAAAAAAAATCAATTTTCAGAGGAAAAGGATTAGCTGTTTTTAAAATTACAATAGACTAAAGCCATATCACCAAAATTTGGTTACTTAAAATATATAACAGTGCCATGAAACTTTACTTTCCATGAAAAAGCTCAGAACATAGTCACATAGTGAGAGACATTTGAAAATGAAATAAAGGTTAATGACAAATAGCCATGCATAAAGCGATGAGTTAAAATAATAACAATAACAGCTCTGAAAATGCAAGAAAACATAGAAATGCTCAAAGAAAGGTTGGTTTTAAACCACAGACATAAGCACGAGGTCTAGTGACACAGATCACATCAAGCTTGGATTTTTTTTTTTTTTTTTTTTTTAGTTTTCAAGACACCACAAATATGCTGGATAAAGCAGAAAGTCAATCCTAAGGAAATTCCAACTGACAGGCATCGACTTATTTCAGCAAAAAGAAACTCTCTGACACCTGGGAAAGAAATTGTTCATACAGTAACTGAGCTCATTAAAATACTACAAGTCTACATAAATTGGGTACTTGCCCCTTCTGATTTCTCCACGGTGTTAGCCAGCATCTCCTGCAGGGCCCGGACAGAGAGGGACTGCTCCAGCACAAAGGTGCAGATGGAGAGGTCTGGGGGCACATTCTGCACAGAAAGAGGAAGAGCCGTCAGCAGTGTCATCTTCATCAAGCATCCAGACCCAGCTTACCTTAGGAGGCTCCAGTTGTATTTGTCAACTTTCTACTGCAAGTTCCCCAGTCATCAAGAAACACTGTCATTACTCCTCACGTTTAATACATTTTAAAAACCACAGATAGCGCCAGGCACGGTGGCTCACGCCTGTAATCCCAGCACTCTGGGAGGCCAAGGTGGGTGGATCACCTGACGTCAGGAGTTCGAGATCAGCCTGACCAACATGGTGAAACTCCATCTCTACTAAAAATACAAAAATTAGCTGGACGCAGTGGCACAAGCCTGTAATCCCAGCTACTCAGGAGGCTGAGGCTGGAGAACAGTTTGAACCCAGGAGGCAGAGGTTGCAGTGAGCCAAGATCACACCACTGCCCCCCAGACCTGGCGACAGAGCGAGACTCCGTCTCAAAAAACAACAACAACAACAAAAAAACCACAGATAGCAACAGCTGCCATTTGCTGAGCAACAATAACAGCTCTGAAAATGTAAGGAGACACAGCTTACTCTGATATGCATTGCCCCGGGAGCTTTATCTATAACTCCTGCGGTCGTCTATAGTAAGGATTGTTACTATGTCTTGTGTGAACAGGATAAAAAGAGAAGTTAGGTTCCTTTTCCAAAGTCACAGAGTTATAAAATTTTCACGCTAAGGATTAAAATCCAGATTTCTCTGATTCTTATGCATTCATTTCTAACTTACCATTCAGTCTGCTGATAAAAAAAATTAAAGAACAGAAAAATAGCACTTTTCTCAAATTAATATTTAAGATAAGCAAATATAAAACTGAATTAGTATAAAATATTCACAGACACAGGTTTCTCCTTATCCACAAGACAGCGATTACTTTGTTTTATTCAACTTGGATGCTATATTTTGCCTCTAACTTGGTCCTGTTCTGTGTGTATGTATATTGCTTTATTTTTTCATCCTCCATTCGTTTTCTTTTCTCTTTCTCTTAAACTTCTATCTCAATCAATACAGCACAAATTCTCAAAATCTCAACTCAGGAGGTGAAGGAACGAGGATAAGAATTGACTGGCTGTTCACAATTCAGGTGATGGGTGCACTAAAAGCCCAGACTTACCACTACACAATATATGCATGTAGGAGAGCTATACTTGTATTTCCCATATATTAATCTATATAAATTTTTTTTTTTTTTTGAGATGGAGTCTCACTATGTTGCCCAGGCTGGAGTGCAATAGCGTGATCTCGGCTCACTGCAACCTCCACCTCCTGGAGTCAAGCAATTCTTCTGCCTCAGTCTCCCAAGTAGCTGGGACTACAGGCACCCACCACCACGCCCAGCTAATTTTTGTATTTTTAGTAGAGACGGGGTTTCACCGTGTTAGCCAGGATGATCTCCATCTCTTGACCTCATGATCCTCCCGCCTTGGCCTCCCAAGGTGCTGGGATTACAGGCATGAGTCACCGTGCCAGGACTTAATTTTTTTTAAATAGAAAAAAAAAGGCACATGGCTGTAGTCCCAACTATTCAGAGGGCTGAGGCAAGAGGAATATGCTTGGGCCCAGGAGTTTGAGGTTGCCAAAAGCCATGGTCACACCACTGTATGCAAACCTGAGTGACAGAGCAAGACTCTGTTCTCAAAAAATAAAAATTAAATCGAAAAAAGGGAAGAAAATTCAGTTGGGGTGGTTAAATTGTGAGTGCATTTCTTTCTTGTGGTTCAATTTATGGAAATGTTTTCCAATAAATAATAATAAATAATGAAAAAGAACTGGTTGGTGGCTTAGAGAGAACCGTTTAAGTTATTAAGCATGTATGCTTTTGCTTAGATAAGTGGGATCCAGTATGCAGTCCAACCAGGTACAAGCAAATGTTCAATGGAGGATCTTTATATCAGAAGAACATTACAAATATATTAAACATAACGTGTAAGCAAGTTATGCCTTCTTCATAAAAAGAACATTGGGAGGATCAATCTGACAAGCTGATGCAATGCATCAAAATTACAATTGACACTGTTTGAAATTTTTATTAAATGGAACCACTGCCACTGGAATGATTTTCCATCACAGCATAAAATGCTGCTTTATGGTTACAAGGAAAAATTAAGTACTAGAGTTCTAAAATTAAAGTTAAAATTATTTTATGGATAAATGATGCCCACAATAAGGCCACAAAGCTTACTCAGACCCCACAAACCCCACTGGTTCCCAAGTTTTGTTCTGTTTTTTTTGTTGTTGTTGTTGTTTTCTAATAAAATCTCCTTTTCTGGCTTCTGCCATCCTCCTCTCATGGGCTCCTGCTTACCCAACCCAATCACTTTCCATTCCTGCTCAGACAATCTCAGCCAGCAAAGAGTCCTCTCAAATCCGGCACCACTAACAGCTTTTACACTCTGCAGTTGGTCAGACAAGGGCTTCCTTTCTAAAATCCTCATATAAAAGTTCAAAGGTTAGGAAAAGGACTCTCTTCTACTGTGGAATTTAGGAACACATGCTCTTAAATTTAATTTTTAAAGTTCTAACCGTACTAATTATAGTCTCTCCTCTTGAGATCAAGACAAATGCTAATGTAAAATAAAACTGTTAATGTAAGCATTTATTTCATTTATATCCATTTAAAATGTGAGGGTTTATACTCTGGCACTGCTGAAAGGGCACTATGTTATTAAATGGTGTGCTGGTGAACTGACTTGAAAAACAGTGCCTTGATTTGTCGCATTTGACCATTTCTGTGGTGTAAATACTCCAATCATTACTGATTTCAAAGTATCAAAGTTTACAAATTGGCTTACAAAAATCCAAAATATCTAACAATCAACTCTTGGCAGTTTGTAAGAGCTGTTTCCAGCATGCCATTAGACTGATTTCAGACCAATATTCATTAATTGCTTTAGAATCAGCATATCCTAATAGTTAAGAGCATGGATTCTATATACACAGACCACCTAAGCAAAAATACTGGCTTCATTACCTACTAACTGTTAACTTTTATAATCTTTAGTTTCCTTCCCCAAAAAATATTGGATAATAATTATACCCTTCTCATAGGGTTGTTATGAACAAATGAAATAATATATGTAGAGAGCTTATCCCAGTGTCAAGAACATAAAAAGAACTTAAAGTAAGTGAGCTATCGTCATTAGTTTTGCATACTGTAATTCCTCTCCATTTCTGGAAATTACGAAGCACCACTCATTTCTTAAAATCAGTTCTCACATGGATTCTACTCTATACAAATAGTGTTTGAAAACACAAATCTATAATTATGCACCTGTTCATAACATCCAAAATGTTCCAGTATTGTCAAGAAAAGACACTTTCTGGTAACACTTAAAAGTTTATATTCTGGGTGCATTTAAATTGTTTCATGCCTCACTTAGATCAAAATGTTAAAGTAAAGATTGCTGTAATATCTCACGTTATTTTAAAGAACCTTGAAAACCACATGGGTTTCAAATGAATTAATCCTGTCAAATGAATTTTATTTTTCCACAGAGTAATGAGCCTGCTGCAGCTATTTTTTCAGATAGTGGGAGTTAGCATAAACAAACACGCCAACAATCTTCAAAGGCAATTCTCTGTCTCTTACAAACGCCACCCATTTTGTTCTGAGTCATCTTCACCATGCTTTCTCTTTCTCTTTGTACCCAGCTCCCCCTACACACACAAATGTAATAGAAAAGCTGAGACAGTAAAAAATAAAAATAAAAAAATAAGTTTTACCTTTCAGGAAAACTTAAAACAATACACATCAGAGATTTATAGTGTTGTCTGTTTTGCTCTAAAGAAAAATGGTCTAGTTATTTTAGGTAACAGAATCATCAGCATAATTTGGTACCTTTTACAGTCAACAATTAAAAGTATTTCTTCATTTAGATGTCTATTTCTTCAAACAGCATTGAAATTTGTACAGTTATACCCATGGTAGCATGCCAGGTCTTTGTTCCCACTTCCCAAAAATAAAGCAGAATCACTGGAAAATAGTTTCAGACATTCATCAAAGATCAGCTTTAAAAAATGGCCCCATGTAATCCCAGCACTTTGGGAGGCTGAGGCAGGCGGATCACAAGGTCAGGAGATCGAGACCACAGTGAAACCTCGTCTCTACTAAAAATACAAAAAATATTAGCCGGGCGCGGTGGCGGATACCTGCAGTCCCAGCTACTCAGGAGGCTGAGGCAGGAGAATGGCGTGATCCCGGGAGGCGGAGCTTGCAGTGAGCCGAGATTGCGCCCCTGCACTCCAGCCTGGGCGACAGAGTGAGACTCCGTTTCAAAACAAACAAACAAACAAACAAAAAAATGGCCCCAAACCAAAATGACTCCTAATGCCAGGAATGCAAGATAAGGTAAAACATTTTACAAACATGTGGAGTAGAGGCTCCCATTTGCAAGCATTGGCAAATTATCATCTTTTCCTTAGTCTTAATTTGTTTTTGCTCAAGTCTTATTACTGAGAAAGTTAATTTTTAGAACTTCAACGTAAAGAAATTTCCTTGCCCTTACTATGAGTGTGCTCCCAAATCATGAGAACTTTCATACAGGATGTTCTGCATTGTAAGTGCTTCGAAATAGCCAGATCACATCAGAACACAAAATCAAAAAACTGCAGTTGAGCATGGCTCTTACACATTACATATGACGTCTACCTGTAATGCAAAATTAAATCAGAGAAAGAGATTCAGTCTGTCTAAACGTCTGTGTCTGTCTATTCTACCCAGAATACTGCCCAAAGCAAGCTGGCAGGAGGTTCGTAATACTTTTTATATGGAGACAACACCCATTTTATCAGAATATGTATACTTTGGGAAAGGTAACAGCAGCAGGGTTGTGTGCCTTTTCTTTTCTTTTCTTTTCTTTTTTTTTTTAATACAAACTGGTCACCATCCTCCCCTGCCTGGCAAACACTGTATAGTCTTAGAGGGGGAAAAAAAAATCTCAAGAATAACCACAAAGCAGCGTGTGCCTTTTCTTTTCTTTT